TCTTTCCTGCCTATGCAGGGGGTCGGACTCGATGATCTATTGAGGTCCCTTCCAACCCTAACATCTATGAATCTATGAATCTATGAATCCTGAGTGGGCTGGGCCCTTGGTGGCAGGACCCAGCATAGCATGTGTTACCTGCGTGCCAGGCCCAGCTGGGTCCTGCTGCCCTTGGGGCCCCTCTCCCACCCGGGTGGGGTGGCCCCTTGGTGGCAGGACCTGGCATGGCGCATGATCCCCGCAACTCTCGGGGCCCCTGTGCTGCCCAGGTGGGCTGGGCCCAGGGCAGCAGGATCCGGTGCAGCACACGTACCCTGCATGCCGGGCCCAGCCAAGCCCTCCTGCCTTCAGGGTGCCTGTGCTACCCAGCAGGGCTGGACCCAGGATGGCAGGACCCCGCATGCTATGCCAGGTCCTGCTGCCCAGGGCCCAGCCTGACCGGGTGGCACAGGGGCCAGGGATCAGGGGATTTGGGGGGCTGCTGTGGGGAACCAGTCAGAGCAGGGATCAGGGGGCTGGGGGAGCGGGCAGAGCCAGTGGGGGTCCCCCCCATGGTCCCCTCCCCCCTCCTCCAGCCCCTCTGACCCCTTACTCACCATCACCGGAGCCCTGGTGCTGAACACATGGCCTGTGTGGCTGCAGGTTTCAGCACCAGGGCGAGGTGCCAACCATGGAGATGCTCTGGGAGCCAGAACATCTCCCTGGAGGACTCAGCTTCCGGTTGCCTCAGGGCACAGTCCTGCCCCACTTTTTTTTGTTTCAGTTTTTTTAGACCCCTGGATATCCAGGGGTCTAATATTCTTCCTGCGCTGCAAACTTGCATGCACACTCCTTAACATGCATGCTCATCGGGATGTACCAGGCTTTTCAAAAGGGGGATATTTATGGGAATGCAAAAAAAAAAAAATGAATACAGTCTTTATTGAACTTAAGATAATCATTCTTTAAAAGGTTGCCAGAAGAATGTAAAAAATTGCTTATGGTTACCTGGGGCATCCTTCTTGTCCTATTTGAACACTGATATAATATTAGCCCTCTTCTCATTCATTCATTCATTCCTGTTATCCTCATAGTATATGAGCTTACCAGCCTGCTTCTTTCCAAATATAGGACAGAAATATTTATCAAACATTTCTACCTTCTCTTCATTAATAATTTTACCATCTTCATATAGTAATGAGTCTGTATTACTGTTATCATACCTTTTTTCCCTCCTGATATGCTTAAGAACACTTTCTTATTGTCCTTAGCCTTGCTAGCTATGGATTTTACCCTTTAGTTTTATAACTTCAAATCTAAATGTGTTACTATCTACCCATTTACTCATTAGTTATATGTTGTGTTTATTTGTAATTGCTGTCTTAATTTCTTTATTGAATAGGATGGTCTTGAACCCAAAATTTCTATCCACATAATAAGCAACTCTCGCATTATCATCTGTACTTGTCTAACTGAATTTTTTTCTTCCAACCACACTTTCTTATCTTTTTCCTCAGTTTTGAGTACTTAGCTCTTTTGTAGGTCTACATGCATATATTACTGGCTCAGACTATTCCCTTTTTTACCTGCAGTAATCGAGTCATTGTCACTGTTTTTTTATCTAATTGCTGTCACAATTAGGTCCAAAATAAAGTTACCTCATGTTGGATGCAATATATTTTATGTTAGAAAATGCTCTGTAGTCTAACGACATTTTACTTCTTCTACATGAGACCACCTTAGCATATATACTAAACTGAAATCTTCCAAATTTTCTTTCTATATGTTCTTTCCACACACTGTAGATAGGTGCTTCAAGAACAACTCTGTTTTGCTAAGTCTCTAAGTTATCTACTTTTGAAGCCCTTGCTGTAATGCCCAGAGATCATATTCCCCTAATCTTGTTACTCTGATGATCCCTTAGAAGACAGTCTAAGTACAAAGAATTAAGGATCGTATGTCTTGAGAGAGAGAGATTTCAAAATTTGGTTTCAACTCAAATTGGGATGAAAATTCAGTATTTCAATTATTTATAAAACAAAGTATTAAAATTTCATTTTTGGTCAGTAAAAATGTTTCAAACTTTTCACAGTGAAACAATTTTGATGTTTTTGCAAAACAAAAATTTTGAAATATTTCATTTTGAAAAGTGAGTTTTATATTTGCATGGGAAAGCACACATTTTTTGCTTCCATTTGTATTCCAAATTTTTCATCGAATTGGATATTTTCCCATGGAACGTTTTGATAAACATCATGATCTGATAAAAATGTCCTGC